AAAAAAAAAAAAAAAAAAAAAAAAAAGACAAGAACAGTCTGTTTTAGCAAAGCTGTGGTTTCTTGATTACCTTAAAATGTGGAATACCACTGAAAGAAAGGCAGCTTTCTGCCCCACTCCCAGCCATGCTTTGCCTCCACGCTAATGAACTTGGGGCTCAAAATTAGGATACACGTTTTCTGAAGGGTTAAGTTTCAGTCAGACTAGTCTACTCATCTGGTTCATCAAATGGCTACCCAAGGTGTGGTGCTGGTGCAAGGACGTGGAGTTGGCAGCCAGCGCAGGATTAACGCTTTGGGCAATGGCACGTTTTGCAGAAAGGCTTAAGTCAACCATGCAACTACATCTGGTTTCCCTCTCCCATCATTCAAGTACACAGATAACGAGGTTAACCAGTCTGGGGAAAAGAAAAAAATCTATACAAGTCTATTACCTAGAAAACATAATTTTTCTGGTGCCGTAAACTTATAGGAGATAACGTGATCATTTGATGATAAAAAGGTTAAGCCAAATCTTGTATTCTTGTCCATAGTCACTGGCACAATGATTTATCCTGGGACATGAACTGTTTAAGCTGAGATACTACTCTAAAAGCAGCAAACCCCCCACAAACCAAAACCATCCAGAAGGAAAACGGTGTTCCCAAACCTCGCTGGCCAGTTTTCTCTCGAAACAATATTTGCCTCAAAAAGCATCAAGCAAGCCAACAGCTTCCAAAGTCAATTCAATCGATACACATGTGTATTGAAATTTATGGTACCTGGCTCACCCTGGTCTCTTTTGAAAGTGTTTACAGTGTCATTAGTAAGAAATGAACCTAAAGGAACAAGGCTATGCAAGCCGAGTTTCTTTTCTATCCCCCCTTTCCATTCTAAAATCCCAGGCTTTTAATCTTTCAGACATAAGTAAGTAGCACACGCTGTTGTACCTCCATGCTTAGGGTGCCCATATTTTAGCATCTATAAGATCTCGCTTCTACATCGCTTTTAGTCCTATGACTGTCCAAAGTGGGATTAAAAAGGAAATCTAGTTATGCAACACAGCCTGGGCTGCCAAGAGATGCTGTTTGAACAGACAATATCCCAGGCAGTCCGGACTTTCTGAAGCAACATTCATGCTGCCAGTCAGTGGGAGAATCCTGCAGGGACTCTACAAAAAGACCAAGTCTGTATTTCTCCATGTGTCTATACAGACAGACACACAGCCCACCTCAACAGAATGTTTAACCACAGAGAAGTTACCCAGCAAGAAAAAAAAAAAAAAAAGAAGGGGCAGCAAAGCAAAGGAGAATAATTCCAGGCAAGCAGCTTTTCAGCAACTTCAATATTTTTAATCCTATCTCTTGTTTCTTGTCCTGCTGTTACCAACTTTAGGGGGAAACTTAGCAGGTTGTTAAGAGACATCAATAAGGTATGTCACAGCATCATGTAGGAATCCTTCAAACAGCAGACATAAAATTAAAAGAAGAAAATGTTGATGGTAGGCCAAAACCAAAAAAAAAAAAAAAAAAAATCAGTCATTAGCAAATCCCAGATGCTGCAAAAGCCAAACCAGTGTGTGCACACGTGTGTGCTAAGACATTCAGGGCCAAGTCCACCAAGAGAGATGGGTTCCATAGCAACTTTTATGCAGACAGAAAGCATCATAATTCTCTTAACTCCAGAGTTCTTAAGATCTTCAGAGAAGATCAGACATTTGATTTTTCTTGCAGTGAATCCTTTTGAAATCGTAGAAATGGCTATGATGTCTTGGAATTATGCAGTACTTTAAACTCAAGATTGTAATGACAGCAAAGAATCTTTTTTTTTTTTAAAAAAAAACCCCATATTCTCCGATAATATTACAGTTGTACGATTTTGTAAAAAAAGAGACCACAGACTGCTGAAATAACCATTTAAACATCATCAGAACCAGTTTCCCCCACAGGAATTTTACATTTAGAAGCAATTAAGTCAGACGAAAAGACATTTTTTGTCATGCTTAATGATGATGACTACAGAAAGGAGATTTCTCTTTGGATAATGAGAACATGAAAAAAGCTGTGACATGCATGTACTGTGTCTTGCTCTGACCTAAAGGCAAAACCGGGTGTTTCTTACCTGCTACTGAATTTGGCCGTGGCATAAGGTAAAGAGGAATAGACTGCACTGACTGGGACAGGACGGTCTCCAGGTTCCTCTCCGGGATTTTGTTCAGGCTGTAGGTGGAGGCCGTCATGTTCTCATCCACACGGTACAAGCAGGAGTCCATGCTGGATTTCTGGGACTGCCAAGGTTTCAGGTTTCCTCCAGATCCAAGTTCTTTACTGCTTTCCCCTCCATATTTAGTGCGTTCCACATTTTCGGAGTAGCTCGTCAAAGTAGCTTGAAGGAAGAAATTATAAACAAAATGAGTAACAAAGAAAGAATGGCCTGCACACACGCTGCTCTACACTGAGTTGTGCAATGCAAGAGCCAAAAATGATGTTCATCATATTTTCCACATTCCCATAAATCAGCGATTATGGAATTTAGTTTAATGATACTGTTTCTGCTTACTACTTCTAAAAGAACATTTAGGCTATAATGTTTTGGCTCATACTGTTAAAAGCCATTTGTAATCACAAAGAGTATTGAAAATTATGTGCAGCATTGTATTCGAATACACAATTCCAGAAAGAGCAGAAACTATTAAGGGAAAAAAAAAACAACACTATCAGTGCTTTCTCGTATCTTTTAATTTGCATCACAGTCGCCACCTTTTCAGGGAAGGTTTGCAGAAGTTTATAACCTTGCAATGCCTGACACTGAAAAGCTGCAGGCACAGAAAGCCCCCACCTGACTCGCATGAACAACCAGCTCTCGTGGATTAGTTGGGTTCAGAAACTGAACCAGATATCTCGTTTGATTGACAGCAGGTTTTTATGAAGCTTTAACTGTAATCCACACATATTTCCCTTATATTATTTCATTTTACAGATCAGGATTGTTGCTGTATTGACTTTCACACTGGGACGTGACAGCGCTATGCTGATCCACACCACTAACAGCTTCTCCCTGTCGGTATTTTCTCTCCTGGATTCTGATGCAGTTATCCCCTGACTGTAACTCCCTTCGGGCTGTTGACTTTCCTTTCATCTTAAGTCTCTCACATATTCGCTCAAGGTCATAATCAGATCTCTTAGGCATTGAGAGAAGGTCCCAACACCCATACCAGCTTATCTGAGTGTGTCAAACCTGTCTGCTCCCTAACCTGGGGTGGGGGCAGAGAGGCAGACAAAGGAGGAGAAGGGGGGGAAGCAGAGATCACAAACCAGAGCTCACTATACTCTCGTTGTCCCAATCACACACTTTTCCACTGTTAGTCAAAACCCTGAAATTCAACTCGACTCTGAATTTTCTGAAGCCCCAGATGCGCCCTGTGCTTGTAGATCTACTTGCTAAATTCACTGAAATCCATCATTTTCACTTAGTGATGGTAAATACCTTTCCCAGTCCAAATTCTCTTCTAATTTCTGTGCCATCTGTCCCTGGAAACAACAGCGTGGATCTACGCTTCTTGTCTGCACCACAAATCACACTGTAATGTCTCCTCACGGGCAGCCTACTTGTCTTCACAAAAGCCCGTTCCTGAACCAAGGGAGATGCTGACTCATTAACAAACAGCACCACGTTAATTTTTCTATTGATAAACACAAACAGTAAATTACTCCAAAGACTCACATGCTTTTAGGCTAAAGTTTTTCCTATGCCAAGTTTTAAGAGTCAGCCACCTAGAAAAGAAGTTCCAGCCAAAGAGTACCTAAATGAAGATGCCATCTAACTGCAAATGGGCAAGGGTTATTTTGTTTGCTTTTCTAAATGCATCCAGAAGCAGAGAACTACTTATTTTAGACAGCTGTTTACATTTTGAGTGCAGGAAGAATTTCACTGTCTAACATTAGGCATTCTATTGAAATTCTCAGAAATTGCCTTATAGACCTGACAAAATATGAAAGTGATGACACTGAAATCCAGGGGCTCTGGGTGGCTCTTCCTTGCCAAGGTGCCAAGCAGACTGCTGGATTCTATCCCCACTGCAAAACCAGGAACTTCAATGACCAAGGACTAATCTGGCTTAATTATACATGTTAAACGATGTTGTAATAGGAACCAGAATTAACTGCTTACCTCCAAAATCACAAAATCATCATTAAAAAAAATTTTAAAAAATCAAGACCTGTAATTCTTACTGGGCCTGTTCTTTATCCATCCCAACAAGCTCCATGCAGCTTCAACCTTTACCCCTATTTCTATCGTTTTATTTCTCAGTATTGGGTTTCTTGTCTAGGCAGTGGGATCAGCATCTTCATATCTCATCAAGATTTCAAATCTTGGTTCCAAAATCTAGTTGTTTGTAACATATTTTGAAATTTAAACCAAGACACGCAACCGCTAAGAACTAGTAGTTGTTTGTTGGCATTTAAACATAGGTTTGCTGTCAGGTAAACACGTTAACACTTTCAGAAAATAAGATAAGAACAAGAAACATATGTTCACAGATTTCTCTTGTTACCTTAAATTGTTTACTATTGAGAAAAAGGTTTGATTTCTACAAAAAAGGTGGATTTCTACAAAATCTCCATTTCAATGTCTGGATCTGCAGTGCTAGGCATACTATGTTGTCTGTTTACAGAAAAAAGTAATCCACTGATCCATTAAAATCTATTAATTTTAAAAACCTATCTCAGTATATGTCTAATTAATCTTTGTAAAAACATCAGCAGCTGAAATCAGTCATCAAACTGAGGAAAGCCAAAATAACTGCGTGTCAAAATAAGTTTTCTCTAAATGAAGCTACAAAAAAAAAAAAAAAAGAAAAAAAAAAGAAAAACAAGCTAATAAATCCTGCTGGCCCCTTTTCTAATCGTCAATTTGTGTTCATTTTAAATGTAATTTTCACTGTTTTACACTGAAGCTGTTTCATGTGCAAACTCTTCATTGAATCAGGTATTTAGGATTGTTCCCTGCGGATTAATTTACCTTCTGAACAGCCCTGGATGATATAAGTACTGCTACACAGGCTGGAAGCGATTGCTCTATGGACTTAATCTCTTCTACGAGCTATTTTAAACCAAACCAATTTTGACTTTATTTAAAAGGCAAAAGCATAAGGTTAGCTACGAGCCAGCAACATGAACTGACATGCAGAGCGTTGTCTCCCGGGGGGACTAAAGCTTACCAACGGCACAACGCAGAGAGCTGCTCAGAAATTACAACCTCACCACCAAAATTTGAGAAAGCAACACCTAATTTCAGAAAATTCACATTATATGCAACTACGAAGGTTGGTGCAGCGTGATACTCAGAGGTTAAAAGTTGGCAATGCAAAGTTGGAAAATACGAAGATAGCTCAAAGATCTGATCGGCCTGGAGGTGGTCAGCAGTTGGTCTAGATGATCACTGCAGGTCCCTTCCCATTTAGAATATTTTTTTCTATTTTATTTCTTGGGCAGAAGGAACTTCGTGACAGTCCCTGATAGGATCAAGCCCACAAAACACCTGCAACCAGAAGGATATCTGCAAAACAACATTATTTCTGCAAGTTTGCTGTATTCATACCCTAAACTTTGCAGAACTGCAGAGGGTATTCTAGGACAGAGCCTGTGCTCGCATGGTTCGGATGTGTGAGCACATCTCCCATCATCTCCCGCGTGGGCCCCTGCGGTGGATGAACTGTGCTTTACAGCAATAATCTCTTTAGAGGGTTGCATGGGGAATGAAGACCCACCCTCGGGATGAATCCTTCTCGCAATCACAACAGGACTCCTGTTGCATCAATAATGTACCTAAACCATATCTACACGTTAAAAATATTCAGGGCCTTAATCCAGATGCAGAGAAGCTGCTTGAAACGGGCAAGAGCAGCTACAGACTAACACGACATCACTGTCCATACTTCTATCATCAGGCAGATTGTTGTATACATAGAGAACACCAGCATATCAGATTATACTAAAAATTAACTCTCAAATTAGGATTCCTTCTGATATTATTACTTTGGTTAGATTAAACATCTAAACCACAACACGAGTATTTTGCGCTCATCCTTTGAGATCTGCTACGCTCTGTAATTCATAGCTCTGGCTCTGGCTAACACAGCTGGTGGCCTGTGGAAAGGAGAGCCCAGTGATGAAAAGTCCCCACGGACCTCAGTTATACATTATGTTGTTTAAATAGTGTCAGTGCTAAAAGGGGCTGCAGGAGCAGCCTTGGACTCAGCTTAACCCACACATGAGAAACCTGGTATCGGAGGTTTTGATCACTATTAAGATTTCAGGGCACAGGACACATTCAGGGCTTTGCAGGATGAGGGGTGACGCAGCCTCGGAACAAGGAGAGCCCCTGTCCCCGAGGGGGCTCACAACATCCCTGCCACTGGAAACGACAAAGGAACCGTCACACCAATGGAGAGAACAGAATTAACGCTTTCTTAATGCAAGGTTTAAGAAAGAAACATTCCTTCAGACATTGACAGAAAATTTCTTACGATTCCCATAAATTTTTTACAGCGAGGGTGGTGAGACACTGGAACAGGTTGCCCTGAGAAGTTGTGGAAGGGTTCAAGGTCAGGTTGGTAACCTGGTTGAAGATGTCCCAGCTCACAGCAGGGAGGTTGGAACTAGATGAACTTTAAAGGTCCCTTCCAATCCAAACCATTCTGTAATTCTATGAGTTTTAAAATCCACAGATACCTAATTAACCAAAAGCTCAAAAAAATTCAACCTCTTCACGATAGCATGCTCTAAATTTGGGAAAGATAAACTGATGACCTCAAATCTATCAGAGAGCAAGAATTTTTGCCTTAAGCCATCTGCTGAGAGGCAGATCTTTCAACCCAGAGTGTCAAACAGACGACACCCAGCGCATCAGGTTATGTGATGGGACAGGTCCAGCTGGGGGTGCCACCAAGGGAGCGTGCTGGGATGTGAGGGGCTGCGGAGATGCCATGAGAGAACACGCGTTTACGTGAGGCTCCTTCTGCTGCTGAACCCAGCCAGAAAGCTTAACCGTGGTGAAAAAAACCCCAAACCCACTGCAGTGCCTGGGCGCTGCTCCACCAGGGGTGGCTGGTGGTGAGCACAGCTCTCTGGAGCAGCAGAGACGTCGCTGCCTCGTGGAGGCACAGAGGGGATTATCGCAGGGGATGGAGTGAGATGGGGTGGCCATGAGAGCCACACCCCGAAACCTAACAGCCATGCCACAACATCTGAGGTTCTCTGTAGCACTGAAGTCATACCACATGTATATAAATATAGATGGGTACATATATATGGGGTTTTTCTTAAATATATATATATGTTTCTTAAATATATATATATATAAGTATCTCCAGTCTCAGCTGG